GCCCTGCTGAAGGCTGGCACTCCTGGCTTCTGCTGTTATTTCAGGATTATTTTACTAATTACTACATAATTGCCCCAGTTTTTAGAGTCTGTCCTATTTTTTTCGGCGATTCGTCACAACATTCCTCTAACATTTCTCAGGTCAATTTTTTTTCTCCCTCTTTTCCATGGTACATACCAAGAGTATAATATGGAATAAGTTTCCATTTCCGGAGTATTTGTTCCAAACAGTCTCCCTCCGAGGAAGCAGCGTGAAAGTTCTGCTGGAACAGAAATCCCATGGAATCCACACCTGCCATCTGTAGTTTGGCCCTAATCAAAACTCACCCAAAACACAACACAGCAATGCTTCCAGCATTTTGAAGGTAAGAGTTCCTGACTGCGCCACTAAGTATGCAATGCAAAGCACAAAGCTGGAAAATTTTATACATTAATCAACTTAAACAAGAATTCCTTTAAAATCGGGTCAAAAAATTAAGCCTCTTCTTTTTGTTTTTAAGATTACAGAGTATAAGTATTTCTCCATAATTATCTGGTCAACTACACTTGATTGTTTTAATCTATTCCTGGTCACTTTAATTTCATTTCATTTCATTTCATTTGTTTTTTAGTACAGTCCTAGAGACGAGTAAAGCTTTGTGGCTGGCATTAATGCACGTGTACATAGCGTACGGTTATTTTTTAAATTGAAAGCTACCATCATCATAATCTTTCATTCTAAACACTCGCCACATTATTTCAATAAATGGGAGCATGATCATAATTCAAACTGAAGTCACCCATAGCTGACCATTTATCCTTTTTTAAATGAAAAAGCCACACAACAGCAACAAATTGACAGTACGTTTTTAAGGCAAAGTCCAGGATAAGTTGTGGGACCACAGCAATGTCTAAGCAGTCCATTTTCCACTCCTCCCAGAGCTTCACTACTTACCTGTAAGTGATCAATCAGTGTTCATTAGGACAAGTCAAAGACCATGGTCAGTGCTTTCTGAATTGCCACTACACTGAGAATCATTTGGGTTCTGACTGCACTTAATTATTTTCTAATGGCAACTCACCAGATCCAGATCAATGGTGGTTTGCTCTACTAACAAACAGAGAACTACTTTATAAGCTTAATGAGGTCTACAGAAGTCAAACACAACATGCACACTAACTGACCACCTATTAGCTAACTTTCAGACTCCAGGATGTAATCATCACACTTCAGGTGACACCATTTCACTCATGAATATTCTCAAAAAATTATGGACCAGCGCATTTCAAGTTCTCAGATACCTGCTCGCATGCCCTTGGGCCTAGACTGCCATCTACTTTCATTCCAACCTTCCTTTTTTTCAAGTGGTGTGATCTCTCCCAGCGTCAAGGTACATTATCCTCACACTCTGTTGACGAAATCATGTGGACAGCTTGAAGGTGTCTGCCAAGTCCGAAGCAGGTCATACCACTCAGGAAGGAAATACATAATGCAAGCATCCTAGTGATGCAGTGTAACTATCACATTGTCTTTAATTTAGTGGAGTTTGCTTTTGTTTTCAGAAATTATGCTGGACAAACTAAAACAAAGAAGATAAAATCGTATGACTCTTTTCCAAGGGCTAGCCTGCTCAGTAAACAGAAGTCACCTGAGCCTGTTCTATTCTTTTTTTAAAAGAACCACAGACCACAATGAAAGTCATCCTGACATTTCAGTATGTCCACTTTAAGGTTTGTTAGAAGGTGAGTACACTCTAAATATTACAACTTTGACTTAGTCTTCCTGAAGACTCCATATCTCTTATAAAGACTTTGGAAATGGTCCAATTCTTTACAATAACTTGAAACTAACCTGCACTGTGCTGCAGTAGTATGAGATGCTATTTTATTTATAGTCACTACCTCACAAACATTTCATGTTTTCAGTACCATGAGCACAGAAAACTGTCCTACAAATTTTATGTAGGAGAAAGCATCTATCAGAAATACTCCTATTCAGAATTCTTTTCATAAAAGCGCATGACAACTCAACTCAAATATTTATTGAGCATCTACTCAAACTCTAGTGCTGGGATAAATATAACAGCAGTCTTTTTCGTTATACGGATCAATTCCTTCAGAGGTCTTGACGCATTTGTCCAAAATTCATAAAATCCTGTTTCTTCCTTTATAGTTGGAAAGTACACTGAGAAACAACCTGTTTTCCAAACAAAAGGAGGCATTTTCTTTCTTCTCCATTGCCGGAAATTCCCTATGTAATTGCTACCCTCCCCACGTGTAGTCTTCTTAAAACAGTCTACTTTTCTCAAAAGTTGTTGAAAACCAGGTGATTCACTTAACAACTCAAGGAATGTGGTCAGAATTACTCCCAGGAGTACGGTGTTCATGAGAAACCCAGGTGGTTTTGCACTGGCAGGGTCAGGTCAGGGAAGAGAACACCTGACTCACAGAACAGGGGAGGGGTAACGAGCAAGAAAGTTTGGCCTGTGACACGGTCACCTAGCAGAGCAACAAGAGTAAGGTAAACACATAGGAAAGGTGGCAGAGACTGCTGTGAGAGTCAAGTCAGGTAAGCCTCGAGGCTTCAGGGCGGAAGAAAGGGATTCAGGCTGAGAAGGGCTGGTAACACCTTGGCATGGCCAGAAAGGCAAACTGTCCTCTGGGTTTCAAGTGAAGGGCCAAGGCAGTTCCTGTGCACATATCCCAGTGATAAAGATTTCTGGAGGGTTCCAAAATGAGTCGTCCCCGTCATTGTGTTATGTAGATTTGGAACAGGAGGAAGGTGGCGAGGAGGAGGGGATGATTTTTTTTTTTTTAATATAGCAGGAGGAAACTCAACTGACAGTTAAACAAGCTCTAAATCACTTGTATACCTTTTCACTTTCATATACTGTAACTTCTTGATTAAACCTGTTCATTTCCAACCACAGAGACAGAATTCATGATTATTAGTCCATAGGTCCTGACAGGGTATTTTTTACAGGGCATGGTGTTTCATTTTTTGATTTTCAATGCACAAAATTCTGGTATTTATAATTATGTGTAGGTTTAACAAAAAATAATTCTATACACCAATCATTAACTCCTCCCCAATGAGATTTCCAGAGAGGTTTTGATTACTAGTTACCTGTCTTTTATATAAAAGCATGATGTAGACAACTAAAAACAGCCTTTTTAATAAATCCAGAATAATCACCTTCCAATATATATAAAAGCAATAAGTCATTTTCATCTTAATTAGGTTTAGAAATCAATATGAATATTAGTCACCTATAGAAATAAATGGAAATAATGTATGATATATGTGTATATCATGCATATGATATACATATGTATATGTATATATATGTAAAATGGAAATCATGTATGATATATATGTATACATATATATGTATCTCTGAATGCAATCTGCCTCCATAATGACAGCTCAAGACATACATAAATACAAAAATTTCACATCTCTCATTTCACCATAGCTCAATTAGTAGAGTTCCAATTAGTAGAGCTCATATATATATGAAATATTAGTTTCTTTCTCGAATATTTTTTTCAATTTTAATGTACAAAATGATTTATTTGCATAGTCCTAAAATGTACTCTTCAGATGGAAAAAAAGTAGAACACTTTTTAAGGAAAAAAATGTGGTCAATGGATGGAACTTCATTGCTCTTTAAGCTTTAAACTACCTGATGAAAAGTGGAGTAAGATCTCTATTGCTAACCAAGATAGGTAGCAGAACTCCAATCCCTCTCAATGGCTAACTCTCTCCCTGAGTTTCTTAGCTTTACAATTCTTTGGGTGGTAGTTTGTCTTTATATTGACCTAAAAAAAAAATCAGAGTGGTTCCTAACCTCAAATCATAGAGAAAAACTGACCAAAAAAGGGAATTAACAGTTAAAAATATTAACTTACATTCGAGGATCCCAAGACTGAGAATCCTATCTAGAAATCCGTAAGATCTATGAGATCCATCAGTAAACTGGAAAAGTCTTTTACAATTGCTCTGGACATGGTTTAACTAACCACATGCATCAAAAGTCATCATTCACAGAACTAAAAATACACCAAGGTCTTCACAAGCAGCTTCTTATGATTCATAGCTCTGGGAGCCTCTTTAAGTCCCACGAAATATATTTAACTTTGAACTTATCTGAAGCTACCTTACACAAGAGACTTTTGTAATTTCTTAGGTCATTCAGTCTGAGAAAACTACTCTGACTGAGGAAACAGAAGGGTCCTTGTCCACATTTTTCTAAAATAATGTAGATAAAATATGCCTATTATTTCTCCTCTATAAAATAACATTCAATCGGTAGCTCAAAAAGTCCCCCAACACTCTCCACTTCCTCCCAAAAGCTGAAAAATTACATCAGACAGGAAACATATTTTTTAGATTCGTGACAGGTGTAGAACACGCACACCAGTCAGTCTGTATCTTCAGTGTCGGCAGGCATGCTCAGAGACACAGACTACAACTCTTCCTTTTCACCGAAGTGACACACATCATATTAGTCCTTCATCTACACATCACCAAGCAGAAGAGTTCCCAAGCAATAAAACCACTTGCTCTTGGTGGAGCACCAGGCCGCTCTTCAAAGATCAGAGTAAGGGCTAAAGGCAGGAGGATGAGGAGGAAGAGGATGAGCCTCGTTTAAGAATTTCCTGGGGAGGAGAGAGGAAAACTTACCTGCATTCTAAACACATTTTTCCAGACCAGTAAACCTAGTCAGGAGGTGGGAAGTCCAGACGCTTTATTCAGAAGTTAAGTGATTTAGATCTCAGCACAAGAACACGATTCAGGAAACACTGACAGTTGCAGTAGAAACTGGGTGCCGGTGAAGTAAGAGGGGCAAAAGCCCCCCCTTCCCAGGGTGCCCACCACAAACTCATTTCTTAATTCCATTTTTTCCTCCCAGCCAAACAAAAACATAAAAGCTACAAAATGAGGACGCCGCGGAGGGTAAATTCTGGAAAATGGGAGAGTAAAACGACCCAGAGTACGAGTCTGGATCGAGGAATTACCTGCTCTGATCCCAGTTGGCCGCGAAGAGGACGAGAATCTTCCGGCCGTAGTGATCCAGGTTGGCCAGGCCCCCGGGGAAGCCATCCTTCAGCGCCTGCTTGATGCCAGGGTCAGTGGCCTTGAAGCTCTTGAACATGTCCAGGTTCTGCTGCCGGTACTCAAAGTACTGGGCCAGGAGGCGGAAGGCCTCGAAGTGATGAAACTTCCTGGCCCGCAAGAAGCGCAGGATGAAGGCATCATCCGTGCGCAGAAAGCCGATGTCCGGCCTGGTGATGACCATGTCCCTCACCTCCTGGATGTCCTGGTGCAGCGTGTCCGGGTTCTCGTTGAGCTCCAGGCGAGCTTTCTCCAGGGTCTCCCGGGAGAGGCCGGCTTGCAAGTGAGTCATCGTCCAGCGGCGTCTGAGCTCCCTTCGGAAGCTCCGGCCGACGCCGGCACCCCTGGCCGTGGCCGCCGCCCGCGTC